TAATATAGTATAATAATATAAATTTATGTACAAAACTGGGCTCTAGTTTTTGTGCGGGCCACATGGTTTCTGTTGAACGTGTTACATATTTTTTCCTACCATCATATTTCTATGTATCGTTAAATCACTTTTTCCTATATACGATTATAATTGTTTTTATTTATTTATTATGTATGAACTTTAGAACGGCACAATATGTGTATCACATAAGTGGAGGGTGCCAATTTTATTTCGGGGACGCGGCCAGGCCCCGATGTAAGCATAAATTAGTAAATATAATAATATGTAATATATAAGTATGAAAGTGTAAATTATGTTTCCCCTTTTCAGTATGTTACAACTGCGGTGGAGCGGGGCACTTGGCTCGGGACTGCAGTGAGTGTGTATTTAACATTTTTCTTAAAATAAAAATTATATAAGTGTATGTAATTCGTATTGTAGCCCGGCAGAGAAGTCGAGAAGACAGTCGAGGGAGGAGGAGCGGTATAGGTGGCGCGGGTAGGGGTGGTAGTCGGGGAAACCGACGTGGTGCCGTGGTGGCCGCGGGGCCCGCGGCCGCACGAACACCGACCGAGAGCGGGACCGGAGCTTGAGACGTAGCGGTGGATCGAGCAACGGCGGTAGCAGGGAACGCTCGTTTTCTCTGCCGCTCTCCACGCTGCGTATCCGCTCACGGTCCCGCTCCCGGTTGTCAAGGTGTTCGGGGACGTCGGACCGCACCCTGACCCAGGACGAAGTAAGTCACTCTGTATGTTTAGAAAATATTCTCTTTTTGGAAAGCGCTTGGTTCTAATAAAATACATTGTTTTCAGCGGGCAGCACGCGAACTGCATGCCGGGCCAACCCCCTCAGTACGGCCACAAAGTCAAGTATATTTTGTATAGTTAAAATGGCTCTTGATAATAATATAATATAATCTTAAATTTAAATAAACCCATTAATTTCAGGAGATCCATGGGGGCGGTGGGCTGACGTCGGCGACGGAAGACGTAAGAATATTATTTTTATTGTATAAAAAAGAATTATTAAATCTAATTGAGCGCATTATTTTCAGGCGATTGCAGAACAACTGCCACCGGCCAACAGTAGGTTTTTACAAGAACATTCTTTGCTCTGGAAATTTTGATAATACTTTTCAATTGTTTTGTTTTTTTTTAAGCTGAATAAACTAATGAAATATTAACAAAAGACATGTGTTTTTCTTTAATTTATGTTCCTTTTCAACTGGGTATTTTTTATTATTTTTTTTATTGGGTATTTTGTAATTTCCATATTTTGTGTGCGCGGTAAGAATGGAATTTAAATTTTCATCAGTTATTTATGTATTCATACTATAGAACAACAATTAGAAATTAAAAATCCGGTGTGTAGTAGTGAACCATCATCGAATACGATATTATGGTAGGCCAGTCAATGAAATACGATAGTATAATTGAATATATTACATACAGTGTTGGAATCTAAAGTCAGACAATATTCTAAGGTTCAGTGAAATAAATGAAAATACAAAATATCTAAGAGTTTGAGTGGTTTGTACGAAGATGTACATGTAACAATTAGCTGTAGAACTTGACAACTGCTATTTACTTTTTATAAACTGAGTAATAACACTTCTACACACGGAGCTACTCATTTGAAACTAAATACTGACGCGAATCACTAACTAGTCCCCGTAGAGTCACTACCAATGTTATTCAATGGAACATAACAGACGGCGCTACTAGTTACTAACCAGTTACTAACGCGTTAGTGATAAGTTCCGAGTGATTCAACTGTCGAGTCACTTTTGAGTTTTCTCACTTTAATATTTTGGTGCTCAACGAAGCTTTTTTTGTTTTATCTATTGCAAAAATTTGTTATTTGTGTCAAAATGAACGAACAAAAAATTAATTTAAAGTTGGTGGAAGAAGTAGAAAAACATCCCGTTCTATATAACTTCACGCTCTCGGGATATTCCAGAAAGGATGAAACAGAAAAAGCTTGGAGTGAAGTAGGAAGATCAGTAAACACGTCAGGTAAATAATATGTAGTAATATAATTATAAATTTAATAAATACATTTAATTAAAAATAAATATACGTGGATTTTTAAACTATATATTATATTATTAGTTTAGTAATTAGGCCTTTATTCCCGAATTGTTGTTAATATTATACCATAATAATATTATACTCGTAATCGGTGCACACCGGGCGACCGTCGCGACGGATTGTTATCGCATCATCGCAATGACAAAAATAGAAATTTCCGACGATCAGACTTTGATAAAATAAATAAACATATTTTACAATTGAAACTTATTTTTTATTATGATTTTACAGTTTTTAATTATTTAAATATAGGCATACTATTGATCACAAATAGCTATATTATAGTTAAAATCTTAAAAAAATTATTTTATACTTCAAACTAGAAAATAATGATTAAAATGATTAAATAGGTATAATAATAGGGGTTAGATAATTTGTAGATAATAAGTGATTAAATAGTTAAACAATATTAGAAAATATTAGACAAAAAATAATTATTTTCAAAAACTAATTAATAGCATATTTCCATTGCCGAGGCAAAGATGCTTGAGGTGTAAGAAAATAGTTTGCTATATAATTTCTAAGAGCAGCTGCAGAAGAGGTTATGTTTATAGTCAAGTTTTGTGGTAAAGGTATTACGTCAATGTGGTTATTTGATTCACAACTTGTAGAATAAGTAGGTGTATACTGAAGTCCTTCTTTTTTCCGTACGTAGTTGTGAAGTATACAAGCTGCTTTTATGACCAAATTCACATTTTCTGGATCTCTGATACGAATAGGACCATTCAAAACAGCAAATTTTTCACATGCCATCCCAAACGTACACTCAATGGTTTTTCTCCCTCTGCTAAATCTATAGTTGCATATTCTTTTCACATTATCTAAAATTCTTTTTGGGTATGGTCTCATCACATATTTCAACAACGGAAATGCCTCATCGGCCACAAAGTAATAAGGAAACGGACTATCGTTTTCATCGTATGTTAATGGTGTGGGAGGAGGGATATTAAGTCCTGCATTTTGGATCCAATATTTCATTGCGGAGGCACTGAATATACCCCCATCGCTGTTTATTCCGGGAAACCCCGTTTCGATAATAGTGAATAACCCGTCAGCATCGCAACAAGCCATTAACACCATAGAATGATACGACTTGTAATTGAAATTAGAAGAACCACTATTTGGAAATTTTTCAATTCTTACATGTTTGCCATCGATGGCCCCTATACAATTTGGGAGATTCCAGAGTGTTTCAAAACGATTTGCTATTCCTTTCCACTGCTCTGTACTTGGTATTGGCATGAATGTTTTTTCCAACACTTCCCAAATCACTTTTACTGTTTCCGTCACAATTCCGCCAACTGTAGATTCTCCTCTACCAAAATAAACAGCAATTGACGCAAATGTCCCACCAGTACCCAAGTATCTGTAAAATAAAAGAAACAATCATAAAAAGGAAGTCAAGTCGGTGTCTCTCTGCTGTACAGTAGATTAAAAGTGGGGGGGATGTAGTAAATCGGGTTTGCGTAAAAATAATAGCATAAAACCAGATTGTTATTACAAATTATGAATACTCTGAATGTTATCTTTTTTTTAGTATCTGAATGCAAAGATAAGTGGAAGAACCTTCGTGCTGTTTTTGTGCGCAACATGAAACCAGCACCAAGTGGTTCTGGAGCAAAACCAAAAAAAGCATATTATTTGTTAGAAGCTATGCAGTTTACAGTTCCATATATTAAGGCGTTAGGTATGCCTTCTGGAAATCTTCCTAATCCCCCAGAACAGAAGGAAAGTTTTGAACAATCTGATGAAATTGACCTTAACAACTCCGAACTTGACCCACAGCAATTTTCGCCATTTCTACCACATCTTACGCCAACTCCGCCATTGCCTTCTACATCATTATACACACCTTCAACTACTGACATACCCCAAAAGAATAATAATAACATTACTCCGAGTCAATTTGAGTCTTCGCCATCATACGTGTCAAACAAAAAACGTGGATTAAAAAACGAAGCAGTGGACAAAGCATTTTTAGAATATTTCCAGGCAAAAAAAAAAGCCAGAACAGAGAACTCTTCAGTCAATGCTAACCAAGATCCAAAAGCAGAATCTTTAAAAATGTTTCTTCTTAGTATGCTACCTGATCTTTTGAAAATGTCTGATGAAGAAGTACGGCTGTTCAAGCGCAAATCACTTCAGATGGTTGATGACATTTTGTCAAACAATTCGGCATTCACACCTATTCATTCATTCTCGTCTTCATCCACAACGCCTTCAACAGATCAACAAATTCTACTGATATCTCAGAATGAAAATGCTCATGAAACTTCTCAACCTAACACATTCCAAACTATAAACCAAAATAGTTCTGAAAAGTACTATGAAGCAGTTAATGAAGCCTTGTACGAAATAAATCAACAGTAAACCAACCGTAATAAAAAAGTATAATATTTTATTTTATGTTATTTTTAAAATTATTAAAATGTTTTCATATATAAGCAAAAAAAATGATATGTTTAATAATAGTAAACCAACAGTAGGTAATAAATAAGTGTTATATTTTGTTTTATGTTCTTTTTAAAATTATTAAAATGTTTTCATATATAAGAAAAAAAAATGATATGTTTATTGCTAAAAAATTATACTAATATGCTAATGATATAGGTAGATGTTACTCATTTTAATAAAGTGTCTAAATTTGCATTAAGTAGATAAAAAAGTAAGTTACTTACCTGAGTGTAATTAATATCCGTTCCTCGGCATTCACGCACTCTCTCATGTTTGTATTTTGCTTGTTTATGGCAGGGGAAATCAGGTTCACCAAATATAAGTAACTTTCTTTTGACATCCGATAAAAACATAAAAATTTAGTATCGGAAAGGTTCAATTCTCTTGCAGCAATGAATAATCGGTGATGAAAATTTTTTTCAAGGTATGGATGAACCCAAAACCTTCTATTTTTTTTATTTCTTCTGTAATAGTAGTATGCTGTTATTACTTCTTCATCACTAGAATCACTGTCAACATCCATGGTAACAAAAAGATGACGAAAAACGTCCTTCATCCATAGTCACTCAGAACAAACTACAGGTTTCGATCACGAGTAGGTATGTTACTAGTAGCCTCGTGTATAGATCTGAGTCACCAATGCGTTAGTAACCGATTAGTAATTTCAATCACAAAACAGTTTAGTTTTTTTTTAATAGCTCCGTGTGTAGAAGGCCTTAGTGTGTATTATTTCTAGTAAGATATCTACTATGCCCCATGAGTATGCCATTACGACCAATTGATTGTTTCACAAATTATTGTTTTTAACATAATTATATTCACATACATTGTGAAATTGATTTTTTATAGATATTATTAATCTACTATATTGATTGATTAGTTCGATTTCAAGTACAGAACGCTACTCTTCTACAGTGATAAAATCAAATATTTTCGTTGTTAATATAATTTAATGAATTGCAATTTGTGTTATTTATTTATTTATTATTAACAATACGGGCAGAGCCCAATTTACATAATATAATAATACTAATTACATTTTTAAATATGATAACAACAATAACAATAGTGACAATAATTACTAATTTACTAATAAAAAACATGAATAACATAATAAAAAAAATACAACAAATTATAGCAATACAAATCTTAAAATGAAATAAAATCTCAATTATTAATATAAAATAAATGAACTAACAGAGTTTCGGTGACATGGTGTGTGCAAAGTGTTGTATTACATGTTATTATAGTAATATGTATGAATGAAATCCAACTATTTAAAGAAGCAATGCTCTACAGTAAGTAAATCGAATACAATCAAAACACAATAAATAAAAAAGTAATATAAACAGTGATATTATAGTGTGTACAAAATTTTACCATATATCATATGAAATACACCTGTCTCAGGTGTTATGTTAACATGGTGAAATAAAAAAATTATACAGTGACAAAACGATAAATAAGATAAGTTAAGCAGCAACATTCTTAATTAACTAAACACTATAAACTATGATGATGTTTATTATTCCTACTAAGAATAAGAATTTTTTAAAATTAATTGCAATTGTTACACATATAATGAAATGAAATAAAATCTCAATCGTTAATAGAACAAAAATAAATTAACAGCAATTCCCAGTGGTGTAGTTTGTACAAATTGTTACATGACACAAATTAATAATTATTATCAAATAAT